ACAAGAGTTAATATTTTAAATGTAGGTCATTGTTAATCTTCAGCCATTTTAACTTAGACTTGTATATGTTCTGTCTTCCTGTTCCCCCTCTCTCTTTAGGTGTTTCTTTTTCTTTTTTTCTATCTCCCTCTTAAATGCCTTTTCCCTTATTTATTGTTTGTTCCTCTGTTTTCCTTTCTCTTTTTTCTTCTTTTTTTTTTTTTCTATCCCTTTTTTTGATTTTAAACTTTACCAGGGAATTTATCCTGGGGAGCGAAATTGCCATAAAAATAGGGTACAATTGAGTTTCATTTTTATGTAATTCATTTCTATGCTCTATAATAAATATATTGAGCTCCCTTTTTGTGGATCAAATAGGATTCACTTGGATTACTTACCCACGGATTTTGCCTGTACTATATATATATATATATATATATATATATATATATATATATATATATATGGCACAGGTAACAAATCTGTTGGTATATAATCCAAGTGGATCCTAGTAATATAAAATATTAAAACTGATCCACAAAAAGAGTTCAATGTATTAATACAGAGCAATATAATTAATAAACAATAATATAATTATATGAAAATACCCTCCAAAAAAGTGGTTTTAAAAATAAATTATCTTATCTAACCCTTGTAAGTAACACAGAAATATCAGGTGAAAAAGGGGAAAAAAACAAACCATATGAGGTCATTTTGGTTTATATTGTTTATTATATATGAGAAAGAGAGGTGGGGGGTACCTCCACTGAAAAACAGCATAGCATGATAAAAAAAGCCCAAACTTAATAAAAAACAAAATGTTTATTATTAAGACAAAAGTATTTTTTGATTGTTTTTGGAAATTTTTTTAATCCTATCTAACACGTTCGAAATATTGGTTACAAATCTTGTTTTATTTACATCAACAGTCAACATAATAATTATGATTAGTATTTTTTCACTTATTTTCCGGTGCAAAACACATTTATTTGAATATTCTTGCAAAAATTAAATAATTGCCAGATTTTATTGAAACTTTCAGGACATGAATGAAATTATTTTATTTATTTTTTTTTTTTGGGAAAATCTTTTTAAAAAATCTTTTTTTTATATATGTTACCACTCAATTATTTTCATGAAATTTCAAGAAATTCAATTTTTAGGGCAAAAATTTGCTTCATTAGTTAAAAGAAGGACTTTCTGAAGAATGTAAATCATCAATTTGTTTTTGTAAAACAGTTAACCCAGTCAACAAAATCTGCTCTGAATTTTAAAATAAAAATATGCAATAAAACTATGACATTATTTAATTAGAAAACCTTTTAATTCCTTTTATAAATATGACACTATTGTCCTAAGAAATATTTTTATTGTTTTTTTTTTTTTTTTTTTTTTTTCAATGAATAATTAATTTTTACAAGAAGTCTTTTTTTTTTTTTTTTTTTTTTTTTTTTAAATTTTAATTAAATAATCTATAATATTATAAAATCATTTAAAATTCTGTGTTACTTCAAGGTGGTTAAGTGATATTGTTATTGAGTGAAAGCTACATTTACAAATCAAAAACTGAAATGGTCATTAAGTCGTTTTTGCCCAATATTTTTCTAATTTAAATTTAAAAAAAAAATATTTTTTTTTATAGATACAATAACGTGCCTCTGTTTGAAAGTATGATGACCATACATGACAGAGTGATGACTCCAGTAAATTTAAATTCAATGTTCCTAAAATTAGATTATGGGAAACATTTTCCATCATTTTTAAGATTACTGAGTACTTAAAAATTATGTTGAAAAACGAAAAAAGTTTTCACCCGTCATTTCCTTAAATTATGTTTTAACAGATAAGGTCTCCTGAGAACAATGATAAAAGTGTCAGCACCTCGTCAAGTGATTTACAGGGTGTTGACAAGCACAGTTTGTTTTTATCATGCTACTGTTTGTTTTAAAAATCCGTTTCTCTGTTATTTTAAATCTAAAATAAATATTTTTTCAATTAAACTTTAAATCAGCTAATATTTCTCAAAGTCTCAGAGAAATATTTTTATTTTTTTTAATTTTGTAAGATTTTTAAAACCAAGAATTCAATTTTGTTTACAAATGTGTCAAAAAATGCTGAATTTAAATGATTTCTGAAAATGAGCAAAAAGTTGAGATTCTAATCAATATAATTTCTATTTGAAATACACCACAGTATTTTGCTTACTGAATGTAATCCTTTAGCTTTTAATTGAAGCTCAAAAGAAAGCTTTAAGAATGATTTTTCATTTTTTAAATTTCATTTTAACCAAGGTTTTGAAACTGAGTGAAAGGTATATATATATATATATATATATATATATATATATATATATATTATAAATAAATTATTTAATTTATTTTTTTTTTTCACTACACAGTTCTAACCATGTTTCAAAAATGGAAGCTAAAAGCCACGAATTTAATTTTGTGATTAAATTAAAGACATTAGTTCCATTTCATCCTCAAGTGAATTCTGGAGTAACTTTTTAAAATTACTGGGTTTTAAATACACAGCTAAAACAAAATTCATGTTTCCAAAGTTACAGATAAATCTATTTTTCTAGACAGGGTGGCTGGGTTTTCAATATGTCTATAATTTAATGTATCAGTTATTGCTACGTTTGGGTCGTGGGAAGGGATGCATTTTTCAATGACATCTATTTTGTAAAAATAAAAATATCTATAAGAATAACATATATATCTCACTGTTCTTTCTTTTTATTTATATACACACACATATATATATATATATATATATATATATATATATATATATAATCTAGAAATATTTATAAAACTTTATATAAAGTAAACATCATATGGCATGAAATATGGTACATTGTAGAAATAAGCAAATGTAGAGAAATGCTTTTAATGGTGTTGTTGTTGATTTTTATTATCTGCATTCTTTATTGCTAGATTTATGATTGCTCCATTCAGCATTCCCCTTTATTCGTTTACAAACTGCCATTAGGAGCTCACAACACAGTTTTTACAGATCGGATCATATTCCTCAACACTTGGCAAAATGGGAAAAAATTATTCCTCCTCTCCAACCAGAAAGCAGAAACTTTACTCGATAGTGACCAGGTTAGTTATTTTTTATATTTTTTTTTTTTTTAATGTTGTTTTTTTTTTTTTTTTTTTTTTTAATGCTTCTGTTGACCTGAAATGTAAAAAAAAAAAAAAAATTAAGAAAATTTTAAAAACTGCATGAACAAATTTTATAAAATATTTTAAATTGGAAATAAAATCAACAATTATTGGCTGTTCATGTATCATTCTTCTTCTTTTATGTGCTGTGTACCTTCAGGATGTGGCAATTATAGCTCTCCATAACTTCCTAACCTTTTTTACTTTTAGTAAGGTTTGTCTTATCACATCCCCTCCCACTCTTTGTTCTGCCAGACATTTACACAAGTTCATTAGGTAGGTTATTTACTACTTCCCTCTGGCCTTCATTATGTCCTGTGAGTATCATATTCTCCCTGCTGTCCTTCCTCATTATGCATCCCAGAAATTTCAAATAACTTTCTGAATTTAAGAAGTGTTTTGGTTCCCATTTTCCTTGCTCATATATTCAGTCTGATATTTTCATCATCCTTCTGTAGAACCACATCTTTTTTGCCTCAAGTCTCATCTTCATCTATTGTTGAGCATTCACTTCCATATAGGAGGATTAATATTAAGTAGCAGTCGAGCACTCATTTCTTTTTCACTCATGTAATTTTCCTGTATCTTAATACTTTGTTTAACTTTTGGATGGCATCTTTCCCCCTTCAGATATTAGTGTCACATTTTCTGTTGTCTGTCATAGCACTCCATACACCTGATTAATATTTCACTTATTTTCATTATCTATTTTGGCACGAAACTGTTTATCAATATTCCAATGTCAAAGTCTATTTCTTTTGCTTATCTGCCAACTGTTGCAATGTGTTTATTTCATGAACTGGCAAACCCTGTTGAATACACTGACTGCATCTACTGCAGTTGAGTAAGACTACTTCAAAAGTGGCCTCCTTCTGGATAGATGCTTGCAGACTAAAGTATAAACCAGGTCAACGTTTAATATTATCGTTATCGTGACTAATGAAAACACAAGGAAGAATGGCTTAATCTCTCGTAATACATTTTATTCTACTCTGGACTTCATCAGTCACTGTTGGCCTGTGGATGCTGCTAGTGCCCTCATCCGAATGTGTGTTTATATATTTGTTTGTCATCTGGTTTTTCCTATGTGCCTACATATCAAGTGCAACTGAGCCAGTCATGTGGATCTGCATTTGATGCCCTAGAGGTCATCTCTCAGGTTAACCCTGCACATAGCATCTCATAAAGGTACTGAGTGTGAAGTCTATTCAAGCATAATCTGTGATAAGAAATCTACTACAATTGTTTACCTATGGACTCGAGTATAAACATCACTAATGTTTACTAACAGGCTCAAGTGTAATGAAAAAAAGAAAACAGATTTGAACAAGGGTTGATATGACACATTATGACATATTATTCATTGCTTAACTGTGCTCATATCCACTGTTGGTTCTTCATAAACATCCAGCATGTTTGATCAGTGGGTGCAATTTTTTTTCCTGCATGGACGTCAATGGCACACCTATGTTTCATATGTACTATAATGCCAGACTTTGTTTTTGATTGGCTGTTTGTAAGAAGGCAAAAAAGAAATTATGAATTAATGGTGGGAAGTTTTAACCTCTACTACCTTACCACTAACATCTGCCTCTGACATTGTAGGCTGACATAATAAAATTCGAGGCATTACTTTTGGAGCAGTTTGAGTACACTTTAATGTATCACAACAATGTAGTCCAGTGAAAGCAAAGCATGTAATTGGTTCATGTAAATTTTATGATATGATTTTTGATGATGAATATACATAAAAAAAGCAACCAGCTAGCCATGTTGGGGATTTGACCAGTCAACATTCGGCACTTCCTGCAGGCAGCCAGAAGGAAGCAGTGTTTCAAAGAAAACTCAAATCTTATTCAAGCTCTTATTTTTTCTCAAACTAACATTTTGAAAAAAATGTATGCTAACAAAAAGTAAAAGATGTTTAAGTTGTAATTGTGATTGTCCAACAATTGGTTGACATAAGAAATATTTGAATGAAATATATTATTAGTTGAAAAAAGTTTCAGATAGAGTAAAAGGACAATGTGAATAAAGAGAAAAGGAAAACTTATCTTAGGACTTTATCAAGGCAGTCACATTTGCCTTGATAAATTCCCCAGAGAATGAAAAAATGTCAGCCAAGATAAGTTTTCTTTTGTCTTTTATTTACACACACACACACACACACACACACACACACACATATATATATGAAGAAATATAGTCTTAAGATGTGTTATATTTATGGGATAAAGTGCTCAATATCAGAGATAAGCGTGTGTAAATATAAAAGTGAACATAAGTCAACACTAGATGCAATGCTGGTCTGACAATTGCATCTAGCATGAAACAGACTGTCGCCTCTAAGTGATGACTTTTGTTCGTTTTTTATATATATATATATATATATATATATATAAAACGTCATCCACAGACAGACTGTTTCGCTGTTTCACAGCTCATCAGTTTGGCTAGACATCCGGTTGCCTCTAGCTAGGATTGAAATCCAACTGAATTGGTGTCAGTCGCAGATTCTACCACTAAGCCGTCGGTGCACGGCAGGGATGAAGGTGAATTTTAGCGTATTTATTTTTAGAAACACACAGTGACCGACAGTGACTCGATTCGCTTTTTGCGAAGAAGAGAGAGAGAGAGAGAGACACACACACATACCGTAACAGCAAAATTGTCCAAATTGTATAAGTTGGAAAGTTTCATTAAAGTTCAACAATTATCTGATTTTTGCAGGAATTTCCAAATCAATGCGTTTTACACCACAAAAGGATGTTCAAATTTCTCATACTAATTTATGGTCTACTGTTGACACCAGAGAAACAAGTTTTTATCCCTAATTTTAAACGATATAACAAGCATTAAAAAAAATAATTTCTACTGAAAAATCCTTTGGTCTTTCCTCTGAATACCACAAATATTTTGATAACACTTTGTTTTCAGCATTTTGTCATCATGTATGCTCATTTTTTAGCGAATCTTTATATGCACAGCATATTTTCATTTAAACAGGCTTGGTTAAATAATTTATACACATAATATTCTTCAACAAAAAAGATTTTCTACACTAAATTAGAAAATATTAAACAAATCCTCATTAATAATGACTTCCCTCATTACAATATTGATGAACAAATTAGATAAGCTATTGGGAATATTAACATAAATAAAATGAATACAATACATCATTAAATAACTCTAAATATATCAAATTACTTTATCGTTATCAAATGCATTCCATCTATAAACAAGAGGGAAAAATTCTAAAAAAAACTCACAAACATCAATATATTCCCCACTGATCAAAGCAAAAAAAATAAAATTATATACTATACTAAACTTAATACAACCAACCTACATGTCCAAAACAATTCTTCTTCACCAACTAGTATCTTGCAAAAAGCCAACATTGCATATCAATCGTTTAGGAGATTGTATCTTTGATAAAAAAAAGTCAATGCTAACAAAAAGACTTACATTTTATTTGGCTGAGCATAGTTCAATATCTCGGCATTTAAAGGAACACTCATGCCCACACTCACAGATTAGACGGATATTAGTTGAAAATATGTCTATATTACATAAAAACAATAAGCAAAAACTAAAAATCAGTGAAGCCCTTTATATAAGAGAATTAAAGCCCAAAATAAATAAAATCAACTATGAGTATAGCAAAAAAGTCCTTAAATGCTTATAAAAAAAAAAAAAAAATTATATATGTATGAGCAAAAATAGAAAAGTTACTTCCCTTTATACTGGAAAAAGAAAAACCACAAAAAAAAAACACAGTTTGAAATCTGGAATGCTGCATAAGCAGTAAAAACAAACAATTGAAATGTTTTGAATTTACAGAAACACAGTCAACTTAATCCCCTGAAGATGGTCTCAGATTAGATTGAAAGTACTTGGGGGCAAATAAAAACTATTTGAAAGAAAATTTTGGCATTTTTCTTAATCAATTTTATAAGGCTACCAAAAAATTAATCTGTGAATTTAAAAGAATCACAACAAAAACTAATCAACATTATATTTCTAAATTATTTGACTGAACCTGTTTGAATATATATATACTGGGTATAACAGCTAAATTGTCCAAATTGTATAAAGGCAAAATCGTCCAATCGTTAGATTAATCTTTGAACCATTGTATCTTAGAAATCTTTAAAGATATCTTACTGGAATTTTCTGATGTTTTTCTAACACTATTGGACACTATTTTGAGCAATAAGAATGTGTAATTACTCTCTAATCTTTTCTTTGTGATGAAATCAATCATTGAAAATGACATGTTCATTATTAATTAATCATATTTAAGGATCGGAAGCTAATGAAGGATTGAAATGAAGTTCAAATATATATATATATATATATATATATTCCAGGATCATTTTCCAACTTATTCAAGATTATCTTTACTCTCTCTAACCTTTTAACTCTGTCTTGGATTAACAAGGTGCCTCACAGGTTTCACGTATGATTTCATTTTCAAGTCTTTTTTTCACTGCTCTTTGGACTGTCTTAGGTGAAATTCCTCTCTCACATGCCAAAAGTCTTGAGTTGGATCTTTTCTAATTGATCTCTTTAGCTCTAAATTGAAATGATGATCCCTCTTCCAGTTGTGACCTCCTGTTTTCCTCTCTACTCTTCCCTCTTTTTAGACTTATTTGCTGTTCTCTTGATTGTTCTTGAATAGATTTTTAAGATGGAAGCCAGTGTAAGAATGTTGGTACCATTATTGAAGGCCTGAATTATATTTTTCCTCTCACAATTGCTCAGTTGAGAAGAGAGTGGTGCTGACACAAAATGATTTTAACCTGGTCTCTTTCTAGCTGAATAACTCAGTGTTTTTCAGCGATTCTTACGACAAATGGGGTCAAGATGGTTAAATGTCTTACCTGAAAACCTGGGAAAAAAATCAATTAGTTTAGTGTTTTTTTTTTTTTTAGATATTAAACATTTTGTGGGATGGACAATTATGCTGCAACACGATTTGGACAATTTTGCTGTTACCCTGTGTGTAAAATATATATATATATATATATATATATATATATATATATATATATATTTTGAAGAAATATAGGCTTAAGGTGTGCTATATTTATGGGAAAAAGTGCTCAATACCAGAGATAGAGCGTGTGTAAATATAAAAGTGAACATTGAAGTCAACACTTAGAGGTGACAGGCTGTTTCATGCTAGACGCAATTGTCTTTGTATATTTAATTATTTTTTCTACCAGTCTGAATATTTGAGAAAACCTATTAAAAAAAAAAAAAAATGCACTCTCCAGCAGGATTCAAACTTGTATCCTGTTTGGAAGGAGAAATTGTCTAAGATCCAATGTGCTTTCAGACTGTCTATGACACATAGTTTGTTGACGATCAAGCAAAGTCAAATTGTGCCTTTTAAATGCAAATCTTTCTCAGACTATCAAAACATTCATATCAGATCTAATGACGGTCTCCCCTGCCAAGTGTAATGCAGGTTTAAATTTGGCTGCAGAACACACTTTTTTTTTTTTTTTTCCTAATAAGATTTCTTGAATATTCAGGCTGACAGATAAATAATTAAATATACTCTTTAATAGATGAACAGAGCCTCATGGGTGTCCACTAAAAATAAATTTTAAGTAATAAAATATATCAAAATAATAATAAAAAAAAAAAAAAAAAAATCCATCACTTCTTTTATATTTAAATATATATATATATATATATATATATATATATATATGTATGTATGAATATAATGCGTGTGTGTGTGTGTTTGATTGGCCTTGATCTGGCATCTCATTTACAGTCGCTCTCTCATGATAATATCCTTGGGAAAGGTATGAATCCTCTTCTCCCCACCCCCAGCTATGGGTAAATAGCAGGAGAGACTGGGTTCTATAGCCTCGGATGGCAACTGGTCTACCGCAGAAAGAAATGGCAACCTACTGAGGTGGAAAAAAAATCTGCCTCATTAGTCATGTATCAAAAGATACATGATTCCCTAAGCATGCATCACATGTGGTGCATAACTGAACTGAACTCTATTAGCAACTAGGTCTCACAGTTTTACTTTTGAAATAGCTAGATACAACCATAAGTTCTATTCGAATAGTTTTTTTTTTCTTGCACTTCTTGACTGTGGAACTCTCTTGTGGTTTCTTGCTTCCCTGTTACCTACAATCTTCAAAAATTTAAATGCGACACCAGTCATCATCTGTCTTCCTGATTCCTATTCGTTTATTGTCCTTTCTCCTCACTAAAGTCTTCTCATTTTCTTTCACTCCCAGTAACTTGCAACTTAGTGGCATTATTGCCTTGCTTGGGGTGAAATGATTTAAAAAAAAAAATAAATAAAACATAACAATATAGATCATTAACACCTAACACATAGCCCTCTCGTAAATTACTGGAGAAGTTTCACACATTTAAAAGTGAACTGATTTGTGTAATCAAAGTGCTAAGCAATAAAAAACACAGCAACAATAATTAATTGTTTAATAATTTAAATGTTGTCAAATTATAACTTTTTTTTTTTTTTTTTTTTTTTTTTTTTATATAAAACATGTTTGAAATTTGTTTGACATAAAAATTTGTGTTGTTTTTTTTTTTTTCTTTGTAGCATGTACAGGGTATGGCAGAAATACCACCCACATAATGGTAAGACATTAGTGTCAATGGTGTCTTCATCTGGTACATGTCTTAACATTATGTGGGATGTATTTTTGCCACACACTGTATGATATCTGTTAATAAATTCAACAGATTTATCTAACCCTAATGAGCAGTGTATCTGCAAAACTTTAAGTTGAATGGATGTCTTTTGAATGTTTCTTTATCTATTAATATACATAAAACCCAGTCTTTAGTTTACCATACTCATATGAAATAAGTTTACTTAAATTTACAAGCTGCTTCATGGAATAGCTGAAATATTGATGGCTGAAAATGTTAGGCTCTGATATTGCTCATGAAAGGAAAAGTATAGTCACAACAATTAAAACACTGTCACATGACTGACAGCACTATTCTTGCTGTCACTTATGTGACAGTGTTTTATGTCAGCTGATATTATAATAAGGAATTATTAAACTTGAATTTATAGATCTTTGTGTAATTTTTTTTTCTTCTCTTGTAGGCCTTGAATCCAGATGCTATTATACAGACGTTTGATTTGCCCTGTGAAGAAAAAGTTCTTGGGATTGTGAAAATTAATTTTCCATTTTATTGGCATGAAAAACAAGAAGCTTCACTAGGACTTTCTGAAGCTGAACTTTGTTCTGATCTCAGCCCTCACTCCATTCATATTTCCCGGCACACAGTTTTTGATGGCTGTCTTGTTATTACCGATGCAGCTGTCTATGAATGCAGGCCAAGGTAAATCCTCTTAAGCATTTCTTTTAACAATATCATTATGTTGGTGGCTGTTTCCAGAAACTTGAATTTAAAGAAAAAAAAAAATATTTATATTCAATTTTCCTGTCTCTTCATGGTAGTGTGGGTGAGATGGAGTGAACTTTGTCCTAGCCACATATATTTTTTTTGTCCTAGTCTCATATCTTTTTTTTTGTCCTAGTCTCATCTTTTGCCTTTTTGATTAACCTGTTCAGATCCCCATATTTCATGTTTCCAAAGGACAGTATTCGACCAATTGTATATATGTATACATAATCTATTTTTGAATTGGGGACTTTGATATGGTGTAATGGTTCGACAAACTTTTGTTAGATTAATTACAACTGAAGAGTGTGTTCAGTCCTCACTGGGTACCCCATACTGTCAGCCTTGTGCCACGTCTAAGCTACACTTAGAAAATCACCAGAATCTCTTCACTAAAATCTTCTCATTTTTTTCCACTCCCAGTAACCCCTTGAGTCTTGGTGGGCTGAAATGATTTTTTATTTTTTAAATGGATGTTGAGAATTCAATGGATGGGACAAGTGAGCATTGAGAAAGTTTTTAGGAAAATTGAAATACAAAAGAAACTGCTGAAATTTCAGGGTCATATAATGAGGAAATGGGGCCTTGGAGAATTTGACATTTACAAGACATATTGGTGGCAAAAGGACCAGAAGGAACAATTGAATAACCTACTTGACATGCTTGTGTAAATGATTAGCAAAACATGGAGTAGAAAGCATAGTAAGGAGATAAACATTGCTTAAACTATAATGAATAGGAAGTTGTGCAGAGCCCATGTCTTGATGAGATATGACACTTAAAAGATGAGTCCCACTCATGAAGATCAAATGTTCAGATTTGATTTGTTCACTTTTAATGCTGCCACCATTAACAGAAACCTAATCTTGCCACCGACATTCAAACTGTTTATTACTGCATTTGAGAACAAAAATGAATATTCGAATGATGTCACTGTCCCATTTTTTTAAAAAATAAATGAATTTAAAAAAAATAAAAATTAGCAGAAAGTAACAAATTGATCAATATAAAAGAGTCCATCAGTGAAATTTCTTAAATTGTGGGTCCTGTATGCACCTACAATATAAATACACACACATGCGTGCACGCACACATACACAAAATAATGGTTGAGTGCTTGTATAGCCAAACCCTGTTGCAGACCACTGCTCATGCACATTTG